CTCTACCAGCTACTAATCCAAGTTCATCTGCTACACTACACATATGCATGCTACTTGGATGATGAAAGCTGCCACAGTGGTTTTGCCACTTGTCAGTAAGATCAAGTGATTATCTCTGTGAATAAGTTACCACTTGTATTATCTTGACATCACAAAGTACTTCTGTTTTGTAGATGCTTACATAAGCATGAAATCAAAACTTATCTGACTGTTCCTAGGGGGCGTCACAGCCAGGAGGACGATATAAAGCTGAGTGCCAGTCTTGGAGAAACAGCAGCACCACAGGAGAAGCGTACATACTCAAGAGACGAATCTACAGCCATGGACACCATCACACATCAGCAGAAAAATGCCCCAGGTAAGCATTAGATTCTAGCAGCAATGCACAAATTACCTTCATATCAATTATTTTCTTAATTGATTAGAATGTTTCTTGTTTGTACTTAAATAAAGTGTGTCATTTTTTGCATAGAGCTGAAAAAATCCAAGTCTAGGAAAAACATCAACCACTTCACGGATGTGCACGGTCTGCCTTGCATTGAGAAGATTGTAAGCTCAGTGGAGGACACCCCCGAGCCCATCTGCACCAACATAACTGGCAAAATCCCAGAATGGATCAATGGCAGCCTTTTGAGAAATGGGCCCGGGAAGTTTGAGATCGGAAACCAGAAGTGAGTATAAGTTAAAGTGTTAATGCATCTACTGCAGCCGCTACATCACAAGACTGACTCCTTTCCCCTGCTCCCTCCATTCTTATCAGGTTCAACCACTGGTTCGATGGTATGGCTCTCCTGCACCAGTTCAAAATATCCAACGGTCAGGTGACTTACAAGAGCCGCTTCCTGTCCAGTGACAGTTACCAAGCCAACAAGGAGCACAACCGCATCGCAGTGTCAGAGTTTGGCACTATCACCATGCCAGACCCCTGTAAAAACTTCTTCCAGCGCTTCCTGTCAAGATTTGAATTACCAAGTGAGTATTTTATCAAACCGCATGAACAGGAACCAAACTCTTTTACTGCAGTGAATGAACTGTAATCTGAATGTAAACTTCCTTACACAGTTAAGTTCACTTCCATATACCTACAGATATGTGAAATATTGAATGAGTGAACACGGAGTTGTGGACGTCCTGTTCTGTGTCATTAACTTAGGCACCTTCTTCTTCCCCTCTAGAGTCCTCAGATAATGCCAATGTGAGCTTTGTGACCTACAAAGGTGATTACTACGTCAGCACAGAAACAAATGTCATGCACAAAGTGGACCCTGAGACACTAGAGACAACTAAAAAGGTAACATAATGTTGAATGTGGTCATTCTTGATCATTCTGAGGAGGCATACAGTATCTGCGCACAGCAGCTCATTTTATTGACCCAGTGCTTTAAACATGACAGTTAAAACAAGTCATAAACTAATGCAATATACTTTATAGCAAGCTTGCAGGCTACTGCCTTTCCTCATTCTATGGTTGGCTGCTGGATAAAATCCAAATATATAGTGTTAACAAAGTCTTTGCACTCATGCATTTGTATACTAGGTGGACTGGAGCAAATTCATTGCCGTGAACGGAGCGACCGCACACCCTCACACTGATCCCGATGGAACAACATACAATATGGGGAATTCCTACAGCTCTAAAGGTATTTTAGTAACATCCAATCAGCATGTCTGTGTATTAAGTGACAAGTGTACAGAACAACAACCCTGCTGCCCATGTGTCTGATGACCTTTAGTGAGAAACTAATTGTATCTGTGCTGACAGGAGCGTCCTATAACATCATCCGAGTGCCGCCGACCAAGGAAACCCCTGAAGATACCCTGGAGGGAGCCACAGTGCTGTGCTCTATTCCTTCAGAGGACAAGACCAAACCATCCTACTACCACAGCTTTGGTGAGCAGAAGTTCTCAAATCAAAGCCTTGACTATACATTCTATCTTAATGTGCTTTCTACCACGATGTCTATGAAGATTTCCTTTAAGGATGCACTGATCAGATACGCTGGCTAGGTATAAGCACACATACTGACCTTATTAAGTGGACAAGGTATTGACCAGACGTGACCGATCCACTTTAAATTCTGTTTCTTCGTCAATGTGATCAAATCCAGTCTTACTTAAATACTATGTGATCTAGGGCTTCACTAATGATAATTTCCCTTTCCTTCCTTTATTTATTCAGTTAATTATCCCTAAAATCCCTAGAGCCCAAAGTGACAGCTTGAAATCCTGTTTTGTCTGACCAAAAGTATATGACAGTATATGAAAAAGAGAAGCAGCAAATCCTCCCATTTGACAAACTAGAATGTGAGAAATCAACAAATCGTTTCAGATACACAGATTTTGAATTTGGGAAGAAGAGGGCACTGGTATCGGATTGGGACTGGGTACTGACCAATACCCCCAGTTGAGGTATCAGAATTGGTATCCAAAGAGAAAAGGCTGCATTGGGGCATCTCTAGTTTCCTCATGAAAATGAACACAACTCATCCTTTCAGAATTTGAAGTAGAAACTAATATAATCTCAATCCATTATAGCAATGTCTGAGAACTACGTGGTGTTCATTGAGCAGCCCATCAAGATGGATCTGTTGAAGATTGTGACCGGCAAGTTGACAAAGAAAAGCATCAGTGATGGCATTCACTGGGACCCAAAACACAACACTATCTTCCACCTGATTGACAAGCAGACAGGGAAGGTAAGGCTCAAACACGGTCCTTGAGTTTTCTAAAAATGCAGCCGATTCACTATGCTTGGACTGTATATCAAACAAATAGCGGTTGCCTTCATTCTTCTGTTCATTCATGCTTTTCAGGTAAACTCTACTAAGTACTTTGCCAAGCCGCTGTCAACCTTCCACCAGATCAATGCATATGAGGAGGACGGCTCCTTGATCATAGATATGTGTGCTTCAGATGATGGCCAGGCAATCACTAACTACAACATCCAGAACCTGCGCAAGTCCGGAGATGCTCTTGATGAGGTAAGCGGGTTAAAAAAAGGTCACTACTCAAAGAGTTGTACGTTCCACGCTTCCTCCACTTGTCCAAACATAGTGGAGTGCTTAAGTTGCTTGTTTTTTTTTGAGGCTGAAAAGATGTTAATATTTTCCCATCAGGTGTATAACACCTTGTGTAGAGTCTTCCCACGGCGTTTCATTTTGCCTCTCAATGTGGACAATGGTACACCCTACGGCCAGAACCTGAACAACCAGCCCAACAGCGAAGCTACTTCTATAAGAATTGCCAAGAACAAGGTAAGCTGACATGATTTACAAGAGTTTCACAACTTCCTAATGGCTGTCTTTGACAGGTGTGTGATTGCACACTATCTTGCTAACATACAGAGTTATGACCCATCGCCCTTGTGTACATTACTGTACATATGGTGCATGTTTTCCTCATTGCCACGTATTGTAACTGCATTTATTTTGAATACATTTTATATTTCCAAGCACTGAATCTCCTTTCTTTGTTCTCATAATGTTTTGTAAAACATCCCAACTGTTAATACCCATTAACAGGAGACCTATTTCTTACTTTACCAGTTAACTTTGGAAATGAACTATAGCACTGTAACTGCCAATGTTCCCTGAGTCTCATTACCCACGTTGCTTTTTTTCCTCTGTGCAGGTCTTCTGTACCCACGAGGACCTCCACGGGGAGGATCTTCATCAATATGGAGGTCTGGAGTTCCCTCAGATCAACTACAAGAAGTACAACACCCACACCTACCGCTACTTCTATGGCTGCGGCTTCAGACATCTTGTAGGAGACACACTGATCAAGATGGACCTCCACGGGAAACACATGAAGGTGAGTCGAATTTCATTTCTCTCTCTTGGATGTTTCCAGCTGTTACAGCATGGCAAAAGTGACTTATTTTAGTGATGTAGTCGTAGATGTAATAGAGTGATATGCTGTAATATTTAGCAAATGCAACAGAGATACATTCGAACTTCCAAATTAATGTTTTTTTATGTAAATATATTGGAATATATTATATGATTTGTATATAATTTGCAGTATTTTTATATGATAAATAACATAGCTTAAGATTTGTTAAATGCAAATATGATGACAATCAAACTGCAGCAAACTTGAACTCTAAGATTCATGAGTGACAATTGTACTTTCTCACAGGTGTGGGAACAACCCGGTCTTTATCCCTCTGAACCCATCTTCGTACCCTCCCCTAATGCCACAGAGGAGGATGATGGTGTCATCTTGTCTGTGGTCATCACTCCGAATGAGGTCAGTCGGGTTCAGTAAAAGATTTTGGACAACTGTACCTCAGATAAAGGCGAAGGATTTCCCCTTCTGTAATGGCAGAAACATGACTTGCGCACTCATACTACCCGTCATATACTACACTGCTTTAAAGTTTACTATGGAAAGCTTACGTTTTTTTCTGTGTCTAACTCTTTCCAGGACAAGAGTACGTTCCTCCTGGTTTTAGATGCCAAAACGTTTGAGGAGCTGGGCAGGGCTGAGGTGCCTGTCAACATCCCCTACGGTTTCCATGGGACATTCAATGCCACAGCATAGAAACACGTGAGGGGGAAATAAATGAATGTACCTGACTTCACATGGACAGGTGGAAGTCGTGGCAGAGGTTATACACTATGTAAATATTGTCTGTGATGTTTTGTTTGTCTCATCATACATGTAAGATTGGATGTGTTAGCAAAAATTTTAAAAAAAGGTTTAAAGTTCATGTTGTAGCTGTTATATAGATCTATTATACTGTGTTAAGAAACTATTTAAAAACATGTCCTGTTGTTAATAGGTTGTTTTTTTCTAAATCATTGTTTTAAATATTTGTTCATGTTTTATATTGTTTTGCTGATTGATGTTCTTGTATGTACAGTGTCTTTGAGTATTTAGAAAAGCGTTTTTAAATATAATGTGAAAACAAAATAAATAAATATTTCAAGTAAATTCACATTTTAAGACAAGGACTGTGGGTGGGTGGGAGCATCTGAAGACAAATGCATTCTTGTTGTTCTCACTGTGACTGCAATAACGTTTTTTACATAACAGAAAATGTTCAAGTTCAGCAAAGACTTTTTATGGCCTCTAATTTTGTAATAAACGGATAAGCAAATGTACACTCTGGCACAGGGCCCACATGTTGGAGAGAGCTAAGTGAATGAAAATGTACTTTTAAATACACAGATGAAACACTGTGAATAAATAAAACTGGACTTAAACATCATGTCTATGTGCATTCATTTCCTCCTTGCAGTAATAATTGTAGCCATAAGAAAAGTAATTTCATTCAATAAAAACTTTAAATTTTAGTCAGTTATCATATTAAAATATTCACAAAAACCCCATCAACTCTACAATATTATGAGTCGTACATATTTCAAATAGTCCATTTATGAGGCTGTGGCACCTGAGTGTGGCACACTGGCGCCCTCTGCTGGTCAGCCATTCCTAACACTGCTTGAATCCCATTTAAAAACAAACTGAATGTATAGCAGAGATTATTAATTTAAGATTATTAATATTTGTGTGTGTTTAAGGAGAGGGCATCCCCCTCAGTCACTCTTTATATTAGCTTAACAACGACACATAAAAATCTTTTGAAATTCTTTATAAACACATGTACATTCATTTTTGCATACTGAACTTTCTTTTACATTAACTTTCTTTATCACAAATTATAAATCTGGTATGAAGAACCAAAAAAAGCAACTGATAATAAGTGATCAGATCTGAGGAAGAATAAATAATCTATTCAAAATGAGTTTTTACTAACTCAATAAACCCATAACAGCACTTTGTCAATGTCACATTTTCACAGAGAATTAGTTAATAAGATTAACATATATACTATAGAAAGCACATGTACAATACATAAACAAAGCTCAGTGAAATAAACAGGTCTGTACACTTAACCCAGCAGTTTATCAGAAATTAGAGCCAACGTTTGCCTCAGATGGTTTTTCTTCTCTTTAAGGTAGGACTCAAGGTTTTGAGCTTCTGCCAAAATGCCCTCCAGCTCCTTCATCTGGGAGGTATCTGCTGCTGCTCTCTCACTGCAACAAACCAGATACTGACAATAGTGAGGTCATGAGTCCTAGCCCCACAAGGGGGGTTTGGGGACATGGGACATAGAGAAATAATAATAACTTGGAAAGTTAATTAAAGTGCCAGCTACAGTATACAGGTGCATCTCAATAAATTAGAATATCATGACAAAGTTCATTTATTTCAGTACTTCCAAAAAGTGAAACTCATTATATCATAATAGTATCTCATAAGCCACACCCAGTTGAAATATTTCAAAGCCCCCTTTATTTCTTTTTGATGATTACGGCTTACGCTAACAAAACCAAAATTTATATTTTCCATAAGACCAAATCATTTTAATACAGAAATTGTCGGACTCAAACTCCGAAAAGTATGTTATATATGCAGCTCAGTATTTTGTCGGGCTCGCATTTTGCATGAATTCTTCCCATCATGCAGGCGTTGGCAGGAGGTGATCAGACTGTGGCACGGCCCCGAGTGTTATTGAGGTCCAGGTTGCTTGATAGTTGGCCGTTTCATGTGAGGTCTCTGCATTGTTGGGGTCTGGTGTTCTCGTCCCTTCCTCCTTGACACAGCCCATAGATTTCTCTAATGGGGGGTTCAGGTCATGGAGAAGTTTGCTGGGCCCCATTCAAGCACAGTAAAAACCATGCATAACCTTGAACCCCCAAAGGTATTGGTAAAAGGCCTTTTGGCCATAATGGGCCCCAGGTGGGCGCAAATGAAATCAGTCTGCTCCCATTAAGGCTTATCCAGCAAAAAGGAAGCCATGAAAGTGCCCTACAAAGATTGTCCTTGAGAGATGGGCTGCCCGTTGACTGTGGACTTGATAAAAACACAGTGGACGGGAACCCACCCCTTATTTTTTTTTTATTGCTAAAAACCTCCTCTGTCCTCCCCATGATTCACAAAAAATGCCGTGAACCCAGCGAGGGGTGGTGGCTGACGGGCCCTGAAGAAAATGAACCCAAAGTTCACCTTACAGCCCCAGCACCAAAGCCAGGCACAAAAGGTGAGGCAACAGCCAGCGATATACTACACAACTTTAAACGCCATCATCCAACACCACCAATGACCATAATTAAATTCAATACTGAGAGAAACTGCATCCCCTCAAAAAGAACTTAACAAAAAACCCTGTACGTACGAAATGGTTATTCTTGTTAGAATGTTGAGCCTCTTGAACCGTGCAAAACTAAAATTCCATGTGTACATTCCAGCATTCAATTCCAAATGGGAATAGTTACATAAATAGCATGAAATTAAAAAGAAACAATTATGTGACCCCACATGGAAATGCATCCCCCATAACAATAATGAAAAGTAGCGACAAGTAAAACGCTGAAAAGTTCAAGTTAAGGGAACCACCCAATTTAAAGGTCCCAGTTGTAACAATTAGAGAAGGATTTGTGCTAAAATTTGCAGAATAATTCATAGGTAATGTTTTCATTAGTGTATAAGTCACCTGAAAAAATAAGAATTGTCGTGTTTTCTGTCACAATTTAAGAAATGGAGCCATTGTTATCGTACAGAGGGAAGTGGGTCGCTCTTCTTCGGAGGCTGCCATGTTTCTATAGTAGCCCAGAACCAAGACAAAGCCAAGACACTGGTCTTAAAAAAAATAATAGGAAAGCCCCTGTTTTTTGCAAGTTTTTGCGACGACTGTGAATTTCTCCCTACAGGTTCGGGCAGACTGAGCTGTAATTCAAGAAAATGGTTGCAGAAAAATCCTGCATTACATTGCTAATGTAACTAAAATCCTACACACTAGTCTTTTTTAAGTATTTTTTGTTTTGTTAAACTAATTAAAAGCATAGGAATAATTAAGAAATTATTTCATGTATTTCGTAAATGTGAAATCAATGGCACCAGTTGGCCAAGGAGAAAAACGAATGAAATACATTAAGGCAGGGAAACAATTTGGCATATCTGTTTAAAATGTTAAATTGATCTCCCTCCCAAACCTTCATTTTTCATAATGAAATGAATTATTGGAAAAACATATTTGTTGTCCAATGTCTAGAAGGTAAAAAAATAAATTAAACCTCCAAAAAAGCCTTTCGGCTATGTCAGGCGACTTGATTTAATGGCAACAATGGTATAACTAGGACCATTCAGTTACCCATGGCCAACTCCATCACAACCAGACAAAAATGAAGGTTAAAAAAAGTCCAATAGGCCAATAAAAACATATATATTTAAAATTAATGAATGCCGCATTTGTTAGGCCCTTATTGATTTGATTGAAAAC